GTTGAAAAGACCATGGCCTGGGTTGTGCATACCTTAAGTCATCATAGTGCCATCTTTGATGTTTAAGTCAGCTTATGTAATAAGTAGAATAGTTAAAATAACACAAAACATTTAGCTGAGTAAGAATTAATAAACAAGTCACAGAATTCATCTCTGCTGAAAAAAGTCATGTAGTAAGGCTGATTGGTTCCACTATAAATTCGTGATCATCAACTTCAAATGAACCTTCAGTATTGACTGGCTACCCCGGTGTCTTTCTCTGATTAGTGCTTCTCCTCTCACTGCAAGCTGATGGTCTCTTCTCTTACAGGATAAAGAATGGAGGAGCCATTAGCCAGAAACTTCCTCATTTTCTCAATAACAAACATATAAATTTACTCATATCTATATCCATTCTATTGTTTCCTTCTTTTAATATTGAGGAGTTTCTCCTATCCCATATTTTCAGGATGCTTAGAATATCTTTATACCTATACATATATGTGTGTTCAGTCTCTGTCTCTTGACCGAATCCTCCCCATTGACTTTTTATTTAAATATCTTTTTTATTTAGAATAGTTTTAGATTTACAGAAAAATTGCTAAGATAGTATACAGAGTTACCATATACCACATACCCAGTTACCTCTATTAACATTTTACATACCTTCGTTGTAGAGTTGTTTCAACTACGGAACCAACACTGGTACATTACTATTATCTAAACTCTATGCTTTATTCAGATTTCCCTATTTTTTGGTTAATGTCCTTTTTCTATCCCAGGATCCCGTTGAGGATACCACATTTAGTTATGTCTCATGTTAAAATATTGGTCATTGGATTGGTGAAGTGCTATTTAATATTAATTTATGGTTGTTAAGAAATGTAATATTTTAGCTCAAAATGAAAAACTTTTTAAATATCTAGTTAAATTAGCTAATGAGAAAGCCTATAGTCAGATATCGTCAGGATTCATCAAGCTTTGTTGCACTTAATATCACAGCATATCCAGTGGAAGTTTTATGAGAATAAGTGCAACTATAGAAGAATGAAAGTCTATATATGAAAATTTGTCTCATAATTATAGGTCATATATATTTTAAGAGTCTGCTTCTTCCTAAACAGTGAGTGTTTGGAGTCCTCATTCATAGTTTACCAATATGTTGTTGTTAGTTGCTGTTGAGTCACTTTCGATTCATAGCGATCCTATTCAACAGAACAAAATGCTGTCTAGTCCTGCGCCATCCTCACAAGCATAGCTATGTTTGAGCCCATTGTTGCAGCCACTGTGTCAATCCATCTTGCTGAGGGTCGTCTTCTTTTTCACTGACCCTCTACTTTACCAAGTATGATGTCCTTCTCCAGGGACTGGTCCTTCCTGATAACATGTCCAAAGTACATAAGATGAAGTTTCACCATCCTCCCTTCTAAGGAACATTCTGGCTGTACTTCTTTCAAGATTGATTTGTTTGTTCTTCTGGCAGTCCATGGTATAGGCAATATTCTTTGCCAACACTGTAATTCAAATGCATCAATTCTTCTTTGGTCTTCTTTATTCATTTTCCAGCTTTCACATGCATGTGAGGCTGTTGAAAATACCATGGCTTGGGTCAGGCGCACCTTAGTCCTCAAACTGACATCTTTGCTTTTTAACACTTTTAAGAGATCTTTGGCATCAGATTTACCCAATATAGATCATATGTATTCCTTTCTTATTTCTAGGAGTAGGTGCGAGAAGAGGGTATCAAGTCCTCATGTCTCTAAGAAATAATAAATGCATTAAGGAGTGTGGAAGTCAGGTTCAGAATCCAACCACAATTTAGTAATTTGTCTTTGGCTTATTATGTACAGGGAGTTTCATGATAATGCTAACAGCAATTTTTATAAGATTTAAAAAAAAATAAGTAGAATAAAGGTTCTCAATATCTTTTCTATTCCCACATAATTGAAGAGAAAGAAACACATGTCTATCAGTAACAGTAAGAATTTGGTAAATCTCACGGGGAGGGAAATTGTGTTTCAAAAAACCTTCCTTTTCCCCCTGGTCTTTCTTATACACACACACTCTTAGAATGGCATATGTGGAACTTGTACACATACTTCATTTGCTTTGACGCTTAATTAAAACTGCATTGCCAGCATGTTAGTACATCTTTACAATTGCAGTAGTGATTATCTTGTCAGATCCAAAGAAATAAAGAAATCTCCCATAATTCTTGACACCGTTACAAATTATATTGAATTATAGAAAGGCTGTTATAAGTTGCGGAATTTAATTTTTTTTTTTTTTTTTTTTGTATCAGCTTATGCTGTAAGAGAGCCATCTGAACAGAAACTTGCTTGGAGCTTCCAATAAGCAAAGTATTCTCTTGAAACACTGAAGTATCAGAAAAAAATCATCTTCATTTGTCTAGAAAGCAGAATTAGATTAGATTAAAGGGCTTTTTATCTTATATTAAAATATCAAGCTTATTGTGCCATTTCTTTAACTATTACTTCTCTTTTTATAAACTTTTAAACTTTAAAAAAAAAATTCTAAAATAATCTAAGATAGAACTCAGTGTAGATTCTGAACTCATAAAAGCAGGAATCTTGTCTGTCGTCTTTACTGTATCCTTAGCACCTAGCTTGTGCTTGGTAAATGTTGAATAAATGAGCTTTGTCCTTTGTCCTCTGAATAATTTCTGTAGGAGAGCATGTCAACAAGCTAGTCATTATATCTATTGTTAATCTTGTCATGTTCACCAGATAAAAATGCAAGCAAAATTTTCTAAAAAAAAAAAAAAAAGTATTTAAAGATCCAGTAAGTAATGTTTGGATGTAATTATTAAATCCTTAAAGTTGGAAATTATTAAAATGGGGGCTAGGGTGAGTGCATTTTACTCTTTGAATTAGGTTCTGACAGATAGTTCACTAGTATAGCTGTGCCTTTTGTCTGAATTCTCTGCCTGCCTGCATGGGTAGAATTCATTTGTGCTGTTTACTTTATTAACCTATTATTCAAATTTAAATTCAGCCTCATAATTATAGTCAATATTTACTTTTTTTTTAAATAAAACAGACTTTTAGCATATTCTAATGATGTCACTAAATTTCATTCTTTAGAGATCAGGTTTGTAATGTTAAATGGTACATCCCTGATACACTTTATCCCTTATATACTTTATATGATATGATAATGTCTATAACATTTTTGTCTTTACAGTCTTCAGTTTGTAGTCCATTTACATACTCTTTAAAGCAATCCTCAGCATTTTATCATAGTCACGATTGGAATAAAGTGTATTTGATATTTTATGGACATACTAGTATTCATTCATTTAAGATAAAAAGATGAATAAGAAAATTTCCTTATCGTAAGAAGAAGAAATTTCTAACTTACAGTCATATTTTCATGTGCTTCTCAATGTTATAGATGATGACAATTTTATATATTTTTAAGGGATTTTAGTTTTGTTCATACTGGTTTCCATTTATTTTCACTATAGTTTTTTTTTCTCCACAAGGCTTAACATTCATGACAAAATTGCAGTTGTTCCAGATTTATAAATTTAAGAACCTGAATTCCAGAGATAGTATAAGAAAATAAACACATTCTATTATAGTTCCTATGACCTTGGCAGTTACCGTTTTTAAAGTACCTGTTATTTAAGACCATGTGTAAATGGACTATACAAAACATACATAAACTAAAAGGTTATTCCGAATCAGTCTGTCTGGTACCAGAAAGTGGACTGTTCTCCACATTTTCAATACTACAATATAAACTTCATTTGTATTTGGAAATGTTATTTGGCATAGTTGTTGATAACAGAAATCAGATACTTAATTAATATCTTTGAGTCATATACAGGAAGATACATGAGTGGATGGTGTGTGATAGTTTTAAAACTTAATTTTTTTTATATAAAATTTTATGGAAGAAACCCTTCACATATAGGGGGAAAAAGAAACCTTTCACGTATAGAAAAAAATTATAAAAAGCAACACTTTTCCAGTCATTCAATAATACCACCTGTGACCAGAGTTTTTTTTTAGCTTACCAAAATGGAATGATTTTGTTTGACATGCAGTTTTCCATGTGACTTTTAATATGATATGTATCTTTGTAACAAAAGGATAAGAACAATTTCTTCTGAGGAGCCTCTGCCACTCTTGGCTGTTCAACTTTGGACATTAAGAAAATTATGTTCTTTTTCTATTTGTTTACCTTTTTTTTCTCAATGTGCTTTCTCAGTCCCTAACTGTCCATCTGTATTTGTTTTTTTCTTTATTCCTAAATTGTTTATGCTTTTGTTCTTTGTTTGCTTGTTTTGCTATTTTAGTTTTTAAATATTGGGTTTTTATTACATATTTAGTGTATTACATATTTGCCTCATTCATTGACTCCATACAAAATAGGCAAGCAAGTTCAAGGTTAAAAAGCAATGGATTTGAGAACTCACTTTTAAAGCACTTTTTTTGGGGGGTTGGAAGATGACAAAAATTAAACATATTGCTTCTTCCATGTCCGCTGTTTCCTGATACATAGCAGAGTGTGATTTTCATTTGTTTTTTAAATTATATTTTGGTTGGAAAACCTAGAAAAAAAATAGTATTTTATGGCTTACAGATCTTCTTAGGAACTGAGAAGCTGGTGAATGATAATGTGTAGGAAAATTATTTTGCAGTTTTGTTGAAAAGAAAATTTTCCAAGATTCTTTAGTATCTTAAAATGCTGTGATATCTTAAAATTTCAAGGCCTTAAGATAAAACAAAAAGGTTTTCATAATGGAATGTTAACTGATGTCTATATAGAGGATAGTTCGATAATTTTAGTTGGGAACTCTGATGTTTTTGAACCTTTGAATGTTCCAACTTAGAGTATATTTTAAAACTTGAAAGTGGTTCAACAGTTTGGTTATCATCAGATTTTTCTATTCTGAGATACTCTTTAGAGCAGCATAGTTTCAGAAGTTGAGAAAAGGTTCACTGAAATTTTAAGAATAACACTAAGTTTATAATTGTTTGCTTTCATTATAGTCAGAAATTGGGTTTGGGAAAATGGAAACCTACATCAAATTGGAAAAGCTTGGAGAGGTAAGTAAATCCTTTTTTCAAAAATATAGCACACATTTTTTTTCTTGTTCCTTACGTAAATCCCTCTATTAATCCACAATTTTTGCCAACCTAGGAAAAAAAAAAATCACTATTTTCTGAAAGATTATATCTTGTTCTGAGAAGGCAACAGATAGAAGGGAAAAAGCCCTGCAATTCTTGAAGTTATTCCATCAGTTTGAGAGGAAATGAGTGTTTTTTTGTGTTTGTTTTTTAAATAAGCTTGTATTCTTTTATGGAAGCACGAAGCAGTACTGTGCCTTCTTGGTAACAAAACAGGCATCTATTTGTTAGTTAGCCTCCCGGGAGTCTGCTGTCTGTGCTGTCATATAGAAAATAGCATGAGTTCAAATCTGTGAAATATCAAAGTACTATCTTTAAGAATAAAAACATATCTCACTGAAGGTCAGGGAAATTCTTGGCTGATAATGCCTTGGTTTCCTTGAACTTACACTAGTACTGACTAATTTTGAAAAAGCTTACATCCCAGGGTGAGAAAGGGTAAAAAAATTTATCATAGAGTTAGTAGGGAAGCCTTGAGGGAATTTGAGGGCTAACTTGGCAAAGACAGAAGACACCTACTATAGAATATGTTTGTTTTTTAGTGGAGATTTAATGTAGAAAGATTCTGAAATGTCTGGAAACTTTGGTGAAATTTTTATAATTTAACAATATGTTAGTTACATTTTCAATTTTCAAATAATATACTCAATATACTCAATTTTTCTTCAATCTCCACACACCATTGCAGGTAAAACATCTTTGTACTTAAAGCTGTTGATCCAGTCATTAATCTAAAATAAAGTACAAAAAGTAAATTAAATATTCTCCTTATGTTTCCATACTTTTGAGACACTCTGTAGGGCTATAAGAGTGTGGAAGCTGTGCACACAGAACTGAAAATCCCTTTGGCTCTAGAAAAATCAAGATTGGTAATTGTGGAGTTTTCTTTGCAAGATGGAATTTAACATATGCTTAGAAATTAGAAATTCAGTTACAGTTTTCTATTGTCTAGATTGTATAGGTGGACACTCATGATGCTTTTGATGTGTCTTTCAAAAATATGTTTTATAGGGTACATATGCAACTGTATATAAAGGCAGAAGTAAATTGACAGAGAACTTGGTGGCATTAAAAGAGATCCGTTTGGAACATGAAGAGGGTGCACCCTGCACAGCTATTAGAGAAGGTATAATTTGTTCTTTCATGAGAAAAATGTATTATGAAATTTATCTAGAACATTTTAAAACCAAAGCTGGATAATAAGAGTTCATTTTTTGGAAGTAAAAAGAGCTTCTAAACCAAAACCCATTGCCGTTGAGTCGATTCCAACTCGTAGCAACTGTATAGGACAGAGTAGAACTGCCCCACAGGGTTTCCAAGGAGCGCCTGGTGAATTCGAACTGCCAGCCTTTTGGTAAGCAGCCGAGTTCTTAACCACTACACCACCGGGGCTCCAGAAAAAGAGCTTAGATATAAAAATAATAGTTGAGTGGAAGATAAATTTAGACTTAAAAAAAAAGGTTACTTTCTAAAACTGAAATGTCCAACAGAAAGGGATTAAACTATATTGTATAGTTTATAATGAAATACTGTGAAGTCATTAAAAATCATTTTCCTATATAAATATTTGCCATAGGGAAATGTTATTATATATTGGTGCATGGGAAAACTAGCTATAAATTTATATATACAATATGTTAATATATTTATATCATGATACTATTTTATAAAGAAAAGATGGAATATTCAGAAAATGGTTTGAGGCAACTGGTTAGCAATTTGGGGCAGTGGAGTACTTGGCACTTTATATCCAAATGAATCCCAAAAGTTAACATTTAAGAAAAAGCAGAAGATAATATGGAGAGTAGTATTACAATACTGGGGACAATTTTAAGTATTACAGTATCAAACCGAGAACCATTAAAAAAAAGATTGTTAAGCTTGATTCTATTAAAATTTCTACTACCAATCTCCCTAGTGAATTACTGATTTAAAGTCAAGAGAATCGTAAACTTAGTCAGATCATGTGGTAAATTTACTTCAGGTTTTTACAAAGACTGGCTACTACACAGACCAAATAATTGACTTTCTTTTCTGTTTTGCAGTTTCACTGTTAAAGGATCTAAAACATGCAAATATAGTTACGTTACATGACATTGTTCACACAGATAAATCTTTGACTTTGGTCTTTGAGTATCTGGTAAGCATTTAATTAAAAAAACAATATTTAATTTTGCTTTAAAAATTATAGTAAGAAATTGGACTTCGTAAGAGCCCCGGAGACATTATTGTTTAATTGTTGGTATTTATTAAATTTTGTTTTGTGGTGCATCCAGTATCTTTCCTTGAAAAGCAACTTATTTTTAAAATTTATATACGATTAATTGACTGTGCCGTGCATTCTGAAAATTATGTATCACATAATGAAGTGCTGTTTTTTTTTAAGGATAAAGACCTAAAACAGTACATGGATGACTGTGGAAATATCATGAGTATGCACAATGTAAAGGTATGTTTTATTTAAAGCTTAGACAAATACTACATAATGAAATCTACTGGCTTCGTAACTATTCTGTTTCAGAATTTTCTGTGTGGCATTTTAAATAGGCTACTGTCCTCTGAACATATTTACTCAGAACCTCTACTTACTACACTATAGCATTTCTTAGGATTAGACCTTTTCGTAGAACTGCTTCCCATTAAACGTCTTTTAAAAACTACTTTGAACTTCCAGTCACATTTTGACTTAATGATGCAGCCATGCTTAAAGGCAAGAGCTCTCAGAAACCTGGTCTCCTGCTGAGGCTAGTTGTGTGGCCGCCTGAAGCCTGGAAGGTTATGGTACTCACAGAAAGAAAGGAGAATGGATACTATGGTTCAGTAAGCAGTTTCTGTCATAAATATTCATTTATTTAAAAAAATGAATTGGACTTTTCATAGACTTTAGATTTCTTAAATCACTTTCTAAGCTTTAAGAAAGTCACTAAAATATAAATTTCTAAAGTCCTCATCTTCTGTTGAAACTATTTAATGATGTAATAAAAATACTGCAGGCACTCTGAGAGATCTTTATGTAATAAAACCCTTTTGTAGTGGGCGGGAAAAAAAAGCTACTTTTGACATCTCCTTTTACGTTATAGGAGCCCTGGTAGCATAGGGGTTAAGAGTTCGACTGCTCGCCAAAAGGTGGGAGTTCAAATTCACCAGGCGCTCCTTGGAAACCTTGTGGGACAGTTCTACTCTGTCCTGTAGGGTTGCTGTAAGTCGGAATTGACTTGACAGCAATGGATTTTTTGGGTTTTGGTTCATGTTATAACGCTGATTCTCTTTCGTACAGAATACAAGTGTATTCTGCTTTAAAAAAAAAAAAAGTCTATGATACCAAAATTCAGATGTTTAAGTAAAAATGATGAGTGTGTTCTGCAAAAGGCCTTCTTTAAATGGCAAACTCCTCTGATATATTTAAAAGTTTATTTAATTGAAAAAACAACAGCAACAACAAAACAACTTTTCAAGATGTTAATCTAATGAATAAGGGCAGCAGAAAAGTTTGGTATGGTATTAGTGTGAGATGAAGCCCAAAATAATTAATTGAGTAAAAGCATTGGATATAGTTGTTTTCTTGCAGTAGATGTCTTTGATCTGACTGATATACTCCAAATTTAGCAAAAATTTATTCATCTAAACTCAGTCAACAGTTTATGAGAACCTATTCTGGAAATAGTCTATTGTAGCTGAGTGTTTGAGACATTTCCAATTCTGTAGATAGTAACTTTAAACATATATATATATATATATATATATGTATGTATGTATGTATATACTTTATTAAAATAGTAAGTTTGATAGATACAAAGGAGAGCCAGTGTATGTTACTAAAAGACAGCTCACAACATAAGTACACATTGCTAAGAGTTTTTAAATAGGACTCTCAATGTAAATTTATTTACATATACCTTCTTTAAGAATTGTTTTAATCATTTTTTCATTTTGCAAGGTGCTATGAATCTCATTTGTATATATTTCTGTTTGTGATTTTTGCTTTTCCTTTCATATTAGCAGTAATTTGGAAAGACCTTAATTATCATAGTTTGAGAAGTTTGTATCTTTTAAGCCAGGTCTACATGGCTAACTTAAGTTGGAAAGCATTTTATTGTTCATATGTTTAAATGACCCTTGTACTTTCCAGACATAAAAAAACTGAAAACCCGTTGCCATCAAGTTGATTTCGACTCACAGCAACTGTATAGGACAGAGTAGAACTGCCCCGTAGGGTTTCCAGGCAGCGGCTGATGGATTAGAACTGCCAACCTTTTGATTAGCAGCTGAGCTCTTAACCGCTGTGTCACCAGGGCTCTTCCAAACATAAAAGGCAATAGGAATATAGAGTAAAGAGTAATTTTAGAATTTTCAGAACACACAGATATGTAGAGTATAGAAACTCTGCTGCTTTAGAATTCATTCAGACATCTTTTTCAACTGCTGCCCTGGCTTGTCCTCAGTGTGCTGATGCTCTGTTTTTCATCAAGTAAACTGAAGGTACACTCTTGAATCCTCTGCACTTGAGATTCTTTTCTGTTAGGCCCAAAGAATCAAAAGATTTTTTGCATTCCACATCCCTCTTTCCGCCAAAACCTACAACAAAAACCTACCACTAGTTTTACAGGACTTGCTTCCCTCAGAGAGTCAGTGCTAATCCCCTTTTCTGAATCATAGCAGATTTGAAGGCTGAGTAGGAGGCACTGAAATAAAGTACCCAGGAGGTGAGTGTCCTAGGCTGGTTTAGGTTATTTTTATAGGACATAATTTGCCAGAGCTATATACCACCATTCTCTTTAACACCTCAGAGTTTTCATAAAACCACCTATTCTGATGCCTTATTTTAAAGACACTGCCCAGATTTTTTCTTTTTTTTTTTTTTGCGGTTTTTTTATTTTGCCAGAATTTCATAAGCAAACTATAAACCCTAGAGCCCCATAAGTTTATGAGGATATGTTTATTTTGAATTACTTTCTGTAACAAATGAACCATTACTGCTAAGACAAAGTTTCATTTAACTCTACAAATAGATACCGTTAAGACTTAAAAAAGGGGCAGATGCCTAAGACTTAAAAAAGGGGCAGATGCTTCATATGTTGTTGTTAGGTGCTGTCAAGTCAGTTCTGACTTATAGCAACGCTGCGTGACAATAGAATGGAACACTGCTTGGTCCTGCATCATTCTCACAATCGTTTTTATGCTTGAGCCCATTGTTGCAGCCACTGTGTCAGTCCATCTCATTGAGGGTCTTCCTCTTTTTCGCTGACTCTCTGCCAAGCTTTATGTCCTTCTCCAGGGGCCGATTCCTCCTGCTAACATGTCCAAAGTACATGAGACATACTCTCACCATCCTTGCTTCTAAGGAACATTCTGGCTGTACTTCTTCCAGGACAGATTGGTTTGTTCTTTTGGCAGTCCATGGTATAGTCAATATTGTTCGCCAACACCATAATTCAAAGGCATCAATTCTTCTTCAGTCTTCCTTATTCATACTTTAAATAGAATAATAAATCGTAAAATTCAGATAACAATTATATAAAGAAAAGGCTTTGTACCTAAGGGTGTGGTTATTTTTCTTCTTTTACTATTCTAGGCCAGTTACTTTTTTGCCTACCATAACTTATGCTTATACCAAAGTATGTCTCATTATTTGTAAGACTAATTTCTATTTATTTCTTTCTTATAGCTATTTTTATACCAAATTTTACGTGGTTTGGCATATTGCCACAGAAGAAAGGTGTTGCACCGAGACTTGAAACCACAGAACCTCCTCATTAATGAAAAAGGAGAATTAAAGCTAGCAGATTTTGGTATGGAATGTGTGAGATATTTGTAAATACTTTCAGGGTGATTAAGTTTTATAAAACAACTGTTGTCACAGTGTGTCATCACTTTTATGTGCATTTAGAAATTTTCTCTGTAGCCCACAGAGTAAGATATTTGACAGAACCTTTGTGGGTGAGTTATGTTTGTGATCATAAGCTTCTTCTTAGTGGCAAATACAAAAAGCTACTGGTTCTCAGAGTGTGGTCCATAGACCTCTAGGGGTCTTGAGATCCTCTCAGGGGATCTCCAAGGTAAAATATATTATCATACTTATACTAAGATGTTATTTCTCTTTTTTACTGTGTTAATATTTGCACTGATTATTCAGAAGCAATAAGGGGTAAAGCTCCTGGTGCTGTAGTAGAACTCCAGGCAGTGACACCAAGCTGGACTTCGTAGTTATTGTATTCTTCACCACTCTATACTTGTCGGAATAAAGTGCTGGTTACGCTTAAAAAGTTCTTGATGAAGCAGTACAATTTGTTAATTTTATCAAATCTCCATCCCTGAGTCTTTTTAGTATTCTGTGTGATGAAATGGGAAGATCCATGACACATTGCGGCACACAGAAGTACTGTGGTTATCTCAAGAAAAAGTGCTGGTGTGCTTATTTGAGTGGAAGCTGAACCAGCCCTTTTTTATTTTTCATGATACATCATTTTTACTCGGGGAAAAAAAAATGACCAACAAGCTGTGGTTACTCAGACTAGGGTACTTAGCAGGCATTTTCTTGAAAATGAATGAAGTGAGCCTGTCATTTCAAGGAAAACAACTGAAAGTATTTCTTTCCAATAATAAAATTTCAGTTCTCAAGCAAAAATTAGATTTTGGAAATTTGGATCTATCACTTGAGCTTGTTAGCTTCCCAACACTTAACTTTTCTCACTAGATCAGTGGTGATACACAAATGTGATTGTGTTAATATGCTAAAGAAATATATAAACATTTGGAAGATCTGCATAAATCTGGGAACTAATATTTTCAAATGACAAATGCATGATATTGCAAAATCATGCATGGGTAAAAGATCCATTCAAAGTGCAAGATAGACCAAAGGATTTTAATGAAACAGTACAAAAAGTACACTGATACAGTTTCAGTCACCACATAACATTTAAGAAATTAATTCTTTTCAAAATCTGAAGTAGTATCAAAGAGGAATATCTACAGTTATAAGAAAAGGCTATTAAAATGCTTGTCCTCTTTACAACTTCGTATCTGTGGAGGTCTGATTTTCTTCATTTACTTCACCCAGAGCTATATATCACAACAGGTTGAATGCAGAAACAGATAATGACAATCTAGCTGTTTTCTATTAAGCTAGATAACATTAAAGAATTTTGCAAAAATGTAAAACAATGCCATTCTTTTTACTAATTTTTGTTTTGGATAAAATATTTTTCATAAAAAATGTTATTCATGCTAACATGTAATGAATGATGTTTTTAATGAGTAAATAGTTTTTTCTCTGTTTTAATTTCTAATATGGCAAATATCAGTAAATGTAATCCACATAGACAAAACCTCTTTGGGGTCTCAATAATTTTTAAGAGTGTAAAAGGGTCCTGAGACCAAAAAGTTTAGAAGCCACTACTGAAAAGGATTCCCTTACTATGCCTATCATCATGACTCTGTCTGTATGCACAATAATTTAATTGTCAGCTGTTTATGTGTATCTCTTCAGCTAATCAGATTTTGAGAGATTAGAAAGTAAGATGACATTGCATGTTCTTTTTGCTTCTAGGAAGATTTAGTGATTGTCTCATGCTGAATAAGATCTAAAGGATTTTACTTTCTACTGAATCATATGGATTATATGATTGGAAGCCTGACAAAGAATATTTATAAGAACTTTGAATTTTTTATATTTTACATTTGAAAGTTTGAATACTCTAATAGAACTTAGTTTTAAAAAGCCCATGCTTTCATCATTTCCATATTTAGCATTTATAAATTTCCATAAGTGATTATGGTAGTTTTAGTTTTGGAGTATTTCATTAAATTTGATAAATGTGAAAGTTTTGGGTATTACTTCGTTAGCAACAGATTAAGAATATTAAACAGTGAGTTTGTCCTAGAAATTCCTATATTTTTGCTCATTTAATACTTATGTTTGTTTGAAAGGTAAGGTTGTTTATTTGTATTTCCTTCCTTTAAAAGAAATAGGTGTTTAAACAAAAACTTACAAGTTACTTGCATATGTTTATATAGGTTATACAGTCTCTTCTCAGGCATAGTTTATGTAATTATTTCCCTTATAATTGTTATTTTCTCTCCTTTTTTTAATGTTGGACAAGCTGCATTTACTACTCCTTGTTCCTTAATCCCAAACTGAATGGCAGTGATAGAAAGACCCCACATGGCTATTAGAAATGCAAAAAGAATGTCAAGGACCATCAGAAAATCTACTTTTATTGGAGAATACTTGGAGTGCTTTAAATTTTGCTTCTAACCTCAACAAAGCAAGCCAAGCAAATTTTATCTTCCCACAGGCCACCAAGAAATTCTGATTATTTTATAAGATCGTATAATCAACTTTGTTTCTATTCCTATATTTATTTTTTATTGGTTGCACAGTAAATGTTCTTACAGATGCAAGTAAGGGAGGGTCCTGTAACTCATTATTTATACTGTAGATTGTTCTTGGAACCTTATGAAAATTCTGTTTCTCCCATGATTGGTGAAATTCAGAGATCTAGATACTACTTATATAGACAGACATTTTCATTAATAATAGAAAATAATTTGTATACGAGGAACTACTAAAATAGATATTTTCATTAATAATAGAAAATGCCTTGTATAATAATGTCGTATCACATTTAATTAATTTGATTTGGTAAAGATTATTGCTTATTTTCTTTCGTGCCAGGACTGAAATTCTAATTGTGAACCAGGACATGTTTGAGGAAACACCCTATTTCAGAACCCCTCAGTAGCAGGAGAATAAGTGCTGAGGAAATTTTAACTGGCAATTTGCCTTGTTAGGCTATTGGACAAGCAATTTGTGGCTGTCTTTTAAGCTTCCATATACCAAAACCAAACCAAACCGGTTGCCATTGAGTTGATACTGACTCATAGCAACCCTATAGGACAGAGTAGAATTGCCCCATAGGGTTTCCAAGGCTGGAATCCTTTTTTTTTTTTTTTTTCTTTTTATTGTGCTTTAAGTGAAAGTTTACAATCTCCGCTTCACCATCCCAGTTCCCCATTTCCATTCAACCTGTTTTCTGTCCCTTCCTGCCTTCTCGTCTTTGCTTTTGGACAGATGTGCCCATTTGGTCTTGTATACGTGACTGAACTACAATGTACATTCTTCACATGTTTAGTGTTTGTTTTATAGACCTGTCTAATCTTTGACTACAGGGGGAGCTTTGGGAATGACTTCAGTTCTTAGTTAAAAGGGTGTCCAGGGGCCATAGTCTCAGATTCCTTCAGTCTCTCTCTGAGCAGTAAGTCTGGTCTTTTTTTTTTTTTTAATTTGAATGTTGTTCTACTTTTTTCTTCCACTCTGTCTGGGACCCTCTGTTGTGATCCCTGTCAGAGCAGTCAGTGGTGGTAGCCAGGCACCATGTAGTTCTTCTGGGCTCAGGCTGGTGGAGGCTGTGGTTCATGTGATTCATTAGTCCTTTGAACTAATATTTCTCTTGTGTCTGTGGTTTTCTTCATTCTCCTTTGCTCCAGACCCTCTATTGTGATCCCTGTCAGAGCAGTCAGTAGTGGTAGCTGGGCACCATCTAGTTCTTCTGGGCTCAAGCTGGTGGAGGCTGTGGTTCATGTGATTCATTAGTTCTTTGGACTAATATTTCTCATGTGTCTATGGTTTTCTTCATTCCCCTTTGCTCCGGACGGTATGGGACCAGTAGATGCATCTTAGGTGACCACTTGTAAGCTTTTAAGACCCCCGACACTACTCACTAAAGTAGGACGTATAACATTTTCTTTATGAACTATTATGCCAATTGACCTAGATTGTCTGCAGCCCTCAACCCAGTAACTCAGTCTCTCAGGGAGTTTGGATGTGTCTGTGAAGCTTCTATGACTTTGCCTTGATCAGGTTGTGTTGACTTCCCCTATATTGTGTGCTGTCTTTCCCTTCACCAAAGTTACCACTTACCTACCAACTAGTTAGTGATTTCCCCTCTCAACTCTTTCCCTCCCTCATAACCGTCAAAGATTGTTTCTTTCTGTGTGTAAACTTTTTTTTTGAGTTTTTATAATAGTGGTCTCATACACTATTTGTCTTTTTGTGGTTTACTTATTTCACTCAGCATAATGCCCTCCAGATTCATCCATGTTGTGAGATGTTTCTTGGATTCATCATTGTTCTTTATCATTGTGTAGTACTCCATAGTGTGTATATACCATAACTTGTTTACCCTTTCATCTGTTGATGGGCACTTAGGTCGTTTCCATCTTTTTGCTATTGTGAATAATACTGCAGTGAACATGGATGTGAATATGTCTGTTCATGTGACAGCTCTCATTTCTTTAGGATATATTCCTAGGAGTGGAATTGCTGAATCATACAGCATTTCTGTTTCTAGCTTTTTAAGGAAGTGCCGTATCATTTTCCAAAATAGTTGTACCATTTTACATTCCCACCAGCAGTGTATAAGAGTTCTAATCTCCCCGCAACCTCTCCAGCATTTGTTATTTTCTGTTTTTTTGATTAGTGCCAGTAATATCAGGATGAGATGATATCTCATTGTAGTTTTGATTGGCATTTCTCTAATGGCTAATGATCGTAAGCGTTTCTTCACGTGTCTGTTAGCTGCCTGAATGTAGTGTCTGTTCATATCCTTTGACCACTTTTTAATTGGGTTGTTTGTCTTTTTGTTGTTGAGGTGTTAACACTTGTTGACGTGTTAAACTCTTGTCGGAGATGTCATAGTCAGCAATTTTTTCCCAGTCTGTAGGTCCTTTTACTCTTTCGCGTCAGTGAGTGGATTTAAACTGCCAACCTTTTGGCTAGTAGTCGAGCATTTAACCATTTGCACTATGCAGAGACTCCTTAGGCATAATACTGAACTAAGATATGTGAAAACTACCTGATTCTTTAAGTTTCTGGTATCATTTGTGTGACTATATCTGATTTAACAGAATTGAATTAAACTTTTCTGATGGTTTTCTTATTTAATATTTTAATCAGATACATAATTATACTTAACAGGAATTTCAGCCCTAAAAATGATTTCATCTTTGTTATTCAAAATAAGATATGTGTTAAAATAAATTTATATTTCTTACTTCAGTTACCTTTTAAAGTTGCTTCTTCTCAGGTGACCAGGAATTGGAGGCTTACATGTAGTAAAAACAGCTATTATGCCAGTGGCTCCAGAGATAAAGTCGCAAGCTCTATCTAGCCTTTCTTTCTTGATAAACTGTGAATTCCATATTAAATTGGCAGAGGAATAACACGGCTTACATCATTTATGGCAATTGATAATATCCAAAGGCAATAGGTTCATCTTATTGTAAAAGAATTATCAGTATATCTTAAAGCCTAAAAAAGAGTAAAAACCAGAATTGAAACTTATTCCAAGGATGATGTTAGTTGCCATCGAGTCAATTCCGACTCATGATACTTTCTCTACGTTGACTTCTGTAAGAAACTTGTCAGTAAAACTCAAAAGGATCATGGACCAATAACTTCAGGTTTGGTATAGCAAATGAAAGTTGGAAGCAGGTTAAAAGTTGATAAATGCTTATGTCTGTAAGAGATCAGATTATGTATCTCAGTATCATTGTCCTATTTTGGGTTAATTTAAGTTCATCTAAGAAATGATTCTGGCATCATGATTGATGGAGAAAAGGAAAATGTCTTACATTTAGATTAATCCAGACACTGTTCCAGCTGCATTCAAATGCATAAAAGTAAGCATAGTCTTTGTTAAGGAATTATTATTATTTAGTATGGATTTGCTGATCCAAGATCATGAATACTCAAAAATAAAATTCCTAAAAATAATTTTGAAGTTTCTTGAAACTACTTAGTAGCCATCTCAGGCATTCCTTAGTCTTCAGTTATGCTGAAGATGTGGGCTGGGAAGTCCATTATAGCTGTTTCTTAAATCTTTATTTTGTTTTCTCTATGAAGGACTAGCCAGGGCCAAGTCAGTTCCCACAAAGACCTACTCAAATGAAGTTGTCACACTGTGGTACCGGCCTCCTGATGTGCTTCTCGGTTCCTCAGAGTACTCAACACAGATTGACATGTGGTAAATATATGCAGATGTTATTACCATGTATAGTTCTGAAAGAACTGTAGCTGTTAATACAGGGCATGCTAATAAATACTTAACTTTAAAGGAGGTATTATTTTAAGGGGCTAGAGTATAAGTGATGATTAAGAGTTCTGCCATGGGAGTAAGATCATCTAGGTTTAAATACTAATCCTACCACTTAGAACTATACAATAACCTTATTTAAATTGCTGACCTGTGCCTCAGTTTCCTCATTTGAGGAAATAGGAATGGTAACTATTTATATAGTAACTTTTTCAGAGGCTGTTCTGTGGATAAATGAGCTAATACATATAAAGCACTTAGAAGAGTGTCTGGTAAAAGTAATTTAAAACAATTTTTTAAAAAAATTTTTTCCCATACAAAAATTTACACATACATTGTTCTGTGACCCTAATTGCTCTCCCCATACTGTGACAGCACACTCTTCCTTTCCACCCCTGATTCCGCATGTCCATTCAACCAGCTCCTAACCCTCTCTGCCTTCCTATCTCACCTCCGGACAGAAGCTGCCCATTTAGTCTGTTGTATCTGCTTGAGCTAAGAGGCACACTCCTCACGAGTTATCACTTTATGTCTAAAATGGAATTTTTTTTATCACCATTTAATATTCACCAAAATCTACCTGCTATAAATTGATGTAAAAATAATTATCAAAATATTGGTAGCCATCTTTCTCACACACCACTTTGATCATGGCATTCCTCTACTCACATACCTGTGTTGCCTCCTCATTCATTACCTATAGAACAAGGTACAGTTCTTCAATCTGGTGCTTGAATATCTCCATAAGTTGTCTCTAAACTGATTGTCTCCAATTTAATTCAGACTATTCCTCTACACAAATATTCCCTTTTAGCCAAATGGGCTACTCACTGTCACTCAAAAATAATCTGGACTTTCACACCATTGCTCTTTTGTTCACACCAGTCCACCCATCTGGAGTGCCTCCCCTGCTCTTCTAACTGTGCCTTGTGCCTAGTAACCGTCAATATACAACTCTTCATAAATCCTTTCCTGAATGTACCCTAGCCGCAGATGGTAATTCCTTCCTCTGACCTGCAGTAGCATTTATTGTCTGTGTTCTTCATGTATTGATACAGTCATACACTTCCTTCTGTTATTGTCTTGAACAATTATATAAAATCTTGTTTTATGTAACATTTTAGCATGTAAAATTTTATATACAGTTGCTGTATTGTGAGCCCTTTAATGGAAGGACTGTGTCTTAAACTTAACTGTATTCACATAGTTCCTAGAAGACAGCTTCCATTCACTTAGCCTCCATCCCTTTCTTTTGCTTCTGTTACACACATCCACTCTGTGCCTACATGTTCTGTCTCTGCTTCCTACATGAAAAATCTTGTTATCGTTTGCTTTTCTCTATCCCTACTGCCCACTACATTAGTTCAGGCCACTGTAATTTCCTAAATTGTCATAACAATCTCTTCAGTTGGCTTTCCTCCTTCCTATCTTGTGCCTCCTTCCAGTCCATGATCCATATCATAGCTGATGTAAGGATTCAATGAGATAATAATTAAAGCACTTAAAAAACAGTTCTTAACACATAATAAGCATTCAGTCTTTAGCTGTTGTTAATGTTACTCTACAAGGATCATGCAGAGGAAAGCTGAACATTTTAAGTAGGAAAAATGGATATAGCAATATGAAAGTTGAAACAAATAGGATAAATGTTAACAATTTAATTTTAGTTGGTTCAGAAAAATCTCTGCAGGAGATTTACTAGCAGTCTTGTACAAAATTCTCCAGCGAGGCAATCTTAAGGAAAAGGTTCTTGGACTTCATAATGTGTAAATGATTACTTATCTTTTTTTTCCCTCTCATGGTATATTTTAAAGGGGTGTTGGTTGCATTTTCTTTGAAATGGCTTCTGGAAGACCGCTATTTCCAGGATCAACTGTGGAAGATGAACTGCACTTAATTTTCCGACTGCTAGGTAACAAATCTTTTCCCAGTGATTTTGCACCTTCGATTGACTGCCTAGATAATACTTTATCTCTAAAAAATTATATTTAAAAATTTGATACTGAGACTCATGTAAATAACTGTTATTTATAGGAATTATAGTTAGCATAATTATTATAAAGACTGACCTTTTAGGTAACTTCTTTTCATTTACTGAAGTCCAACTTTTGCAATAAAGAGTTTATGGAAGACAGAAGAAAAATACTATTGAAGATTGGCCTTTCGCATATTATTAGAATATATTTCTAGCTTAGGTGTCAACTGGATAGAAAAGGGCCAGGCACCATCATTTTTTTTTTTTTGTTGTACTTTAGGTGAAGGTTTACAGAACAAACAGTTTCTCACTAAACAGTTAGTACACATATTGTTTTATGACACTGGTTAACAACCCCACGACATGTCAGCCCTCTCTCTTCTCCACCTTGGGGGATGTTTTTTTGTTGTTGTTGAAAATATACATAGCCAAAGATACACCATTTCAAAAATTTCTACATGTACAATTCAGTGACATCGATTACATTCTTCCAGTTGTGCTGCTATTCTCACTATCCTTTTCCAAATTATTTTATCACCATTATCTTCAACTCACTGCCCCCTAGGCTTCCCATCAAACCTTTTGAGTTACTGTTGTCAGTTTGATCTCACATAGATAATTCTTTGTTTTTTTTAGAACCTTAGATGAAGGTTTGCAGAACAAATAGTTTCTCATTAAACAGTTAGTACACATATTGCCTTATGACAATGGTTAACCACCCCATGACATATCAACACTGTCCCTTCTCAACCTTGGGTTTTCTATCACCAGCTTTCCTGTCCTCTCCTGCCTTCTAGTCCTTGTCCCTGGACTGCTGGCACCATCATTTTTATGGCATCATTGCACAGTGCAATAAAATCCATATATGTTTACTATTTTTCTCATTCCAATTTCAGTGGAAGTAGTTAAATCATCTAGTAAATGTAAATTGTTCTCTACGACACTTTTCTAGTGACTTCTGTCTATATATATGTGCATATATAACATTTATATGTATATAAAATCTTATACATATTTATAAATATATAAATTGTTTGTTTTTAAATTCAGGAACTCCATCTCAGGAAACTTGGCCGGGTGTTTCTTCAGATGATGAGTTCAAGAACTACAACTTCCCAAAATATAAACCACAGCCTCTAATTAACCATGCACCTAGGTATTATTTTTTTTTCCCATTTAAGTGAAAGAGGGGAAACCTACATAGTTCTTTTCAATATCTTGAAGCATTAACCAAAGTAGGATTCAGGAAAAAATATATAATATACACACATAATTCTTAAATATCTTACGGTGCTAATTTAATTGAAAATCTTTCCTATGTCAGATTAATTTTTTAATTCAGTGATCATGAATCACTGAAGTATGAAAGTAGAATTAGCTGTAAATAAAATGAATATAAATTTATGTATTAGAATTCCAGAGTTTATGTAGATACTTTTCCCAGAAAGAAGAGACATTGATTGATGGCTTTACTCAGTATCGTGAAGACCAAGATGAAAGTTCTGGTTTGCTTTTTACAGAATTATTCTATATTGGCTTAAGAAACCTACGGGAAGTGTTATAAGTAAAATCGTGACCTGGACACAAAATGACCCATTAGTATTTTGGTTAATGTTAATGACACAGTTTGTATTTGAAGAATATAAACTCTTTGTGACCCCTCGGCAAAATTTAGTCTCCTGAATATTAACTATTACTATTAATCAGTTAAAGTTGCTTCTGATACCTACCCCTAGATGGACTCCCATTAACATTTGAGTCAGAACATTTTTACTTACGGGATGTAGTACATTTTTAGTAAGTAACGTAGAAGGACTTACTCCTTTGACTACATTTTTCCATCTTTCCTTTAAAAAAAATTAAGAAGGCACTAAGACACCAAATAAGGCTATGCTCTGTTTTAATCAAAAACCATTCACATTGCTCACAACATAACACATTTGCTCTACTTTTGCTTATTCTTGAAGTAGGGAAGAACAGAAAACAGTTCCAACACCAAAAATATTTTTAAATTATGTGGATTGATGTTCTTATTGTTGCTATAGCAACTAATATCATTCTAACTAGACTTCCGTAGGAAGAATATGTGCTGGGATTTTTTTGTGTGTCTCCCCCAAGTAACATAAATCCTATTTTTGTCATTTATATATTGTTTGCTGTTTGTAACATTTAGTGTAGAAGGTTGAAACTCTTCTTTGAAGCAGATTCTCCATAACCTTAAAACCTAGCTTGACTGTGCCCAGGGAGCTGTATATGTGTGCCAGAATGGCAAACCGCAGAGGATTAGGAGAATCTGGAGAGTATATAGGCTGCAGGATCTACAGTACTCACTGAGAGTACTCGGGGAAAACATTTCCTTTTCATCATTGTGCTTTTACCAATGAAAGGTAGTGCAAGGTAGAATGTATGATTTCTGATCAAGAGATTATCTCATTAAAATAATCCCTAACCCCAGTCTTCCATATTATGTTAATTTGATCACTGTAATTATCTGTCTTTATTGGCTATATCATTGGTTTTATAACCCTTACTGATTAACTTTTATCAAGTTATTGTGGCATATTTAAACCGAACTTTATGCGTTCTAGTATCCAATGCTGGGTAAACCACCCTGTAAAAATTTGTTGAATGACTCGTCTCTGTGCTTATCTTGAACCACATTGATATGTTCTGGGATCACTTGTCTCTATGTTTTCACATATATGGTAGGAAAAGAATACCTCTGTACTCTTGCCTTCAGTGGAACACTATGAAAATATTCTGTTTACTTAAGCCTCCCTATTAGAAAGATTACTTTGTTTTGAGACAGAATGGTGATTTAAAAAAAAAAATCCGGTAGTTTTAGTAATCTAATTTGCTCTTGTGTATTAAAAACTTGAAGCCTAATTGTTTGTGGTTTCTTCTTAAACAAGTAGCAAGGTAAGCTTTTAATGATAAAACAGATCTCAGTCTATTTGAAAGCAACAAGAGTAACTATGGATTGAAATGCTTAGAAAATAGTTTTATCTAAAAGATTTCTATTAGCTAAGATAAAAGGGAATGAATTACCACTTGTTTTTTGTTGTTTCTAGGTTAGATTCTGAAGGAATTGAATTGATAACAAAATTTCTTCAGGTAAGTTGCGTCGTATTTTGTAATTGTTAAATGGGCAGTTAACTTCTCTAAGCTTTAGTTTCCGCATCTGTGAAACAGGGTCAGTAATACCTCCCTCATAAATTTGTTGTGACAGTTAAATAATACTATTTATGATAGTATGTGGCATACTAAAGGCACATGCTTAAATGAAAAAATATTTCTTAATGTTTATCATGACCTAGAACAGTCTGAGGTAGTCAGCTGCTTGTATTGACCAGCTACATCAAGGCCATGTTCTCCAAAATTCGTGTTCTGTGTGTTTCCCATATTAAAAAAAAAGAAAACAGAAAACAACAAACCCACTGCTGTTGAATCGATTCTCACTCATAGCAATCCTATAGGGTTTCCAAGGCTGTAAATCTTTACAGAAGCAGACTGCCACATCTTTCTTCCGCAGAGTGGCTGGTGGGTTTAAACTGCCGACCTTTTGGTTAGCAGCCGAGTGCTTTTAACCACTGCACCACCAGGGCTCTTTTCCATATACATACTGGGTTATAGGCTGTTGCACCTGTAAGTACCATTCACATCTTCATTCAAATCAGGAAGAAGAGGGGAGGGTAAGGGTGGTGCCATTCACATTGGTCCTTTTTTATCTGCAAGGCTTCTCCCAAAGTTTAATTGACTACAACATAATTATAAGAGAATTTGGGAATTGGGGAGCAGGATTGTCATAATTAGCCTGTTCTTAGAATAGTCATGATTCATGATCATTCTGTTGGAGTTGGAAGCATTTGTTTTTGTTGTTAGTTGCCATTAAGTCCATTTCGATTCATGACAGCCCCGTAGTCTTCTCCTGTAATTAGATCAGAATTTTTTGAAGGGAGGTGTATGTTTTATTTGCCTATGTTTTAATTTATTCCTTATAATGCCAAGCACATTGCTACTACTATGTAAGAAATCAGTAGTACTTAGAAATAGTCATTAATCTTATTGGAACTAAGCAGGAAAATGCCATTTGATGATAACCAAAAACAAAACAAAACCCATTGCGTTTGAGTCGATTCCGACTCATAGTGACCCTATAGGACAGAGTAGAACTGCCCCATAGGGTTTCCAGGGAGCACCTGGTGGATTTGAACTGCCAATCTTTTCGTTAGCAGCCATAGCTCTTAACCACTACGCCACCAGGGTTTCCCATTTCATGATAGACATTGTCATTATGCTCATTCTAGCTTTGATTCAGAGTTGTTAACAAAAGTGGACTTCTGGCAAAGTATAATGAAGCAGAGTAGAACTGCTCCATAGAGTTTTTAAGGCTGTGTGATCTTTCAGAAGCAGATCATCAGCTCTGTCTCCTGGGCACCTCTGGGTGTGTTCGTACCACCAATGTTTTGGCTAGTAGCTGAGCACTTAACCATGTGCACCACCCAGGCACTCCTGGAAGCATATACAACTTGAAAAATCTAGATTATATCATAAAGGAAAAAGAGGGAAATGGGTATTGGATAGGTAGTTCACGTCTGCTATAAAAGGAGCCCTGATAGTGCAGTGGTCAAGTGCTGGGCTGCCAACTGAGAGATCAATGGTTTGAACCCACCAGTGGTTCTGTGGGAGAAAAGTCCTGGTGATCTGCTTCTGTAAAGATTACAGCCGAGGAGGCATATGGGGCAGTTCTACCCTGTCATATAGTGTCACTGTTGTTGTTATTAAGTGCTGTTGAGTTGGTTCCAACTCATAGCCACCCTAGCTATATACAACAGATTGAAACACTGCCCAGTCCTCGTACGGTTGCTATGAGTCGGAATTGACTTGACAGCACACAACAATAACAGCAACAACATAAAGGTATTGGGTATATTTCCACCAATCCTTTGGTTTACTTGAAGGAAAGTAACACCGAAGATCATATATTTTAATTTTTCATCACTTCAGAAAATATAAGGAATCTAAAATTTAGTTAAGATTCAGCATTAACTTGGAAATTTGGAACTCTGATATAATTATTGCTACTTAATCTGAATAGCAACTCAAGTTAGAGTGTATCTGGAGTACTCCAAATTGGTGCTTGAAAAGTAGTCATCACATTAAGTAATCAGGATTAAAAAACAGTAGCTCTAAGTGCCAATTTGACCTTTTTGCCCCTCTTTACACTAATTAGAGGAAAAATGGATGAAGCAATTCTTTGTCTTTTTGCAGTATGAATCTAAGAAAAGGGTTTCAGCAGAAGAGGCCATGAAACATGTGTATTTTCGAAGTCTGGGACCAAGAATACATACCTTATCT